TTATCACATACACTGCATCAAATTATACTACTCGCGATTTGCGAGTAGTCATGTATTTTTCTGTCGTGTTTTTGTGAAGATTGTCTTCCCGGAACATGTAACTGTCGCAAATTTTAAATTTTTCTTTGTATCAACTTACTTCGTATCATCCTGTTACCAACAGGGAGTTCAGAGGCATTCGCCTATCTTTCCCTCAATAAACTGATACTGATACTGATACTGCGTTGATAGTGAGCTTTAAGTCACCAGAAATGCCCAATGAACCATCGGCTTAAAGAACAAGGATTATTGGGGCTGTCCATTCTGAATACTGTGCACACTCAATAATTACCGCTTTGTCCATGCGATCTAACCCTTCGTCGACCTCCGCTGCAAGTGCATAGGAGACTGGACGAGCTTTGAACAATTTGGGCTAGGATTCTGATTCAAAGTAGAATCTAACTTGTAGATTGCGATGCTGCATAGTAGAATAATCCTGAGACAGTTCTTCATGATTCATTACCAAAGAAGCTAGAGCGGAGTTAACCCCAATTTGATGTACGTAGGATAGCACTGAAGGCACACATTTATCCAATTCCGTCCGAGGAGGTTTGATTGTTGGCTTCCTCTGACAACGTGAACCGGCAAGTAATGGAGTTCGCCAGCATGCTCCACTTCCGTCGTAAAAACCCCTCGAATGTCAACGTCCTGTCCAGTGTAACTACGAAAAGTGGAGCGAGCCGGAAGGAGATGGGGAATTTTCCGAAGAGAGGCCTCATTGATGAGAGTAACAGCGAAACCAGTGTCAATTTGAAAGTGCCCAGGATAGTGATCAATCGGAAGTGTGATGATGTAGGGTGATTGGAGCGCTTTGTCTGCTTCTAACTTTTGAAGTATCGTCTCGCCATCCCCAGCTGGAGTAGGGTAGATAGCATGCATGCTAGTGTTCGTCCGTTTTTTTTGAAAAACACTTTCGTTTGAGGTGTCTGATTTTCTCACAAAATCGACAAACTGGCTTTTGATGCTTATAGTCTGACCGACGGATATGATACTGAACACAACGGTAGCAGGATGATATTTGTATGAAAGGAGCTGGTGGGTTCCGTTTGGGTGAAAACTCGACAGTGTTGACTAAGGAGATCGAGGATGATATAAGTCCAGTGTTTGATTGATGTAGCTGCTGGAGGTTCTACTGTACGCCATCTTGATGACTGGCAATATCACAGGCTTCCTCCCATGATAAATCCCTCTCGTATAAGACTTTCTCTCGAGGCTTTTCATCCCGCAAACCCACAAGCAACTGCTGTAACAGCATCGTCTTGTCAAAGTTAGTTGCCGCGATCTCTGTGTATCTGTAGTCCTGAACAGCGAGAGTAAGGTTGGTAATAAAATGACCAATGTATTGACTGGCTTCCTGATGCATCTGGTAAAAGCAATGGCGTCTCAGGAAGATGTTCTCTTTTCCGCCCCCCATTGCTTCGAGTTTCGTAAATGCCGTTTGGAGATCAGCAGAATGAAGCAACTTAAGGACATCAAAGTAACCTTGTGCCAGCTCTTCGAGATGAGTCCGGAGGAGTTTTAAATTAGACGCAAAGTCTAGTGTAACAGCAGACAACAAAATCGGAAGTAGTTCCATGAAATCCTCAAATGTAATCCTCCATTGTAACCAGGAATTATTTGAAGGTTTCGGAGCGCCTTTTGGCCAGAAAGGTGACGGTGTAGGTAATGATGAAGTCATGTTCGTTGAGCTGCGCCGCCAATGTTATGTTTTGAAAACGGAAGGCAGTTTATAGGCAGGACGAATGTAATGTAGGTAAAACAGAAGGCTACTTGTGGGCAAAATGTCCTGTAGGCAAAAAAGAGGACTGTGTGTATGTGGGACGTGTACTTAGGACGAAGGCACAGTTCAAGCGATGAGTCATGCTTACACCGCGGTGTATGTGGTGCGGGGTAAATGTAATAGGCCGAATGCTGGCCAATCAGAATAAGGGCAGGGGTTAGCCGCTAGCCAGGAGTGAAGACTGGGCAGTCAGAAAAAAGGAAAGGGCGAACACATGTCCGTGACCTTGACCAGCGCTTGACGCGCGCATCGCGTCATGATGTCCCGACACCACGGGCCGGCATACATAGCATCTACCACCCGATTGGTAAGTAACGTGGATAACGCCACTGTATAAGGGAAGTGGTCGGGTCTCCACAAATAGTTACAGGCCATTTAACTTGTCTTTTATTTGCTGCACACCTATGAACCAAATATGAATGCGACAACTGATGCAATTCCTAGAACAAAACCATTTGCTTTCCGATATGCGGCATGGTTTCTGCAGATATATATCTTGTGTGACGAACTGGTTTCTTTGTTTAAAGCGTTGGACTAGAGTAGTTGCAAGAATGGTTGCCATTCATATAGTCTACTTTGCCTTCAAGAAGGTTTTTGATGGTATGTCTCTCCATCACCGTCACTTCAAAGGTAAAGTGCGTTTTGAGGCAGTCATTCAGCAACTGCATGGGATGTCTGCGTTGAGGTGTTTTGGCTGCCTCGATATATTGCCTGTCAAGTAGATCAGTTACAGTTTAAATGGCCCGGCTCTGTAGGATCGAGGTGAAAGTAAGGTGACGTCGAATAATATGATGATGTCATCTATCTCGAGTTGTAACCCAGTGAGTTTCTCCAGGAAATCCGTGGCTAGTCGGACTGTCGTATCGGAGCCCAAGGTGACAGGGTTCAAGCGTCGGAACATCCATTTGGTCTGGTTAATAATGGGTGTGTCGTGCACTGACACGATTGGACGAAGGGGAGCACCATCCTTGCGAACTTTGGGTAGACCATAGAGCCTTGCCATAGCCGCATCGTTCGGTATGATGGCCAATCTTGCCGATCTAGTCATAGCACTATTATTCTGTTACACGGTGAGTGTTGAGTTAATTTGCGTTACCAACCTCTTCATTGGGTTCCCTTCACACTTAAGGTATGCTTGCTAGTCTTCACGCAGTGCGTTGGTATCTTGGGGGTGTTCGAACTTGTCTAGTACAACCGTCGAATGCCATTTTTCTGCCGATTGTATGACGATTGTCTTATCAACCTTCAGCGTCCCCAGGGCATCCTGTTCCGTTCTCTGTATAACCGGGCGACGTTTCTACATCATGACGAGAAAGGTGATTTGTTGTCTAATGAAGGTTTGTGTGTCAGCGGGCTCATGGGAGTGTTTAAAACTTGCTCGATGGCGGCCACCAGGTCAACCGAGTCGGCGCTCAAGGTGTTCCAACCGCCAGCATGTTGCAGCGCTCTAATCGCTTCTGGCCTGAGTTCTTCGGATAACATAATATGGACGACTTGCTCGCTATCTTCTTCAGCGAAGGAACCTATCCCCATATCTCGTGTGGATCCCAGTTCTCTGGCTTGTTTTTCAAACAGTTGGCGGAGTTGCTCTGTACCGTTCTCGCCAATGATGGTTTATCAATCATCCAGCGGTATTTGTGTAGTCAAAATTGACAATCTTGAATGAGGACTCGAGTCATCCGCCTATCATGCTGCATCTACCATGGCTTCGCCAGTATTGTGGTCATCGGGGGCTTGAAGGGCAAGCTCTTCGGAAGCAATCCATTGTCGAGGCACCTGTGGAGAAATTCAATTTGCGCGCATGTTGAGGATACGCGAAGTGCGAAGATCTCCCATCGTCTCGCTGACTATAGCGCTTCGCGGCCGAAAATATTACTGATTGAAGTGAAAATGCGTGTTTTTTGGAAAAATGAAGAAGGTAAGGTGATCACGAGAACCATGGGTTTATTGTCCTGACGTTTCGGACGCATACAGGTTTTCATTGACAAAGGTGGTATACGCAATAATCTTCTCAGTATTTAAAAGTAACTTTTTGCAGCTATCCTGGAGGATAAAATTTTCTGATTAGTAATTGTGGGATTTGTTTGAAGAGAGCATGCAGATTTTACGCAGAACCGACAGATGAAAGCAAAATATTTTTAATTTTTGCTATGTTCGACTCCTACAGAGAGTATGAAACCAATCTTTGCAAAGTCATCCCTCCTAACGATCAGATGATAGTTTATTTTGCAGCAGTTGCTTCAATTAATTAATTATTCGCAAATGTATATTTCAACAGACAAGACTAATTTCTCTCCTTACTTGCCATCGCGGAATCTAATGAAACACTGACATTTTCCTTCGTTTTGCCTAGCTGTAATTTATGGTCCTCGTTTTGTTGCTGTGTAACGACATTTTATGCTGTATGTTCATTATTTACTTCCATGCCTTCCTTTATCTCTTAGGGAGATCAACCGTGTACACCCTGGCCGACCGTACCGACCCAATCCCGAAGGACCAGTCTTTTGTTGTACCAAGTGACTAAAGCGTGTATCTTAGGAACGATCGATTATAAATAAACGTGCCAACAGCGAGTCTCGTCTTTTTGTCGTGCCTTGGCTCGTTTGTTCTGATTGTCTGTCTGTGGTTGTTGCGCCTAAACACTCGTCTGATTTATTCAGGTCTGTCCTCCTAACACGTCGGCCCACGCTACAGCTGCTCATGCCTAAGTACGACAACCGTAGTTGCTAGCAAACACTTTTTTACCCAATGTTTACATCTTTTGTCAAAGTTTTTTCGTGCTTTACAATTTTGCCTATTATAACTACTTCACTAGCCACCATAGCCTCTGTGAGACATCCACTCGATTGATTATGTTTGGAAATAGTCAGAGACCGCCAAAAATGTCTATCGTTCCAAAGGCTACACATCTATTATCAAATCTTGCGTTTATTATTTTACACTGGACGCAGAATACATTGAGGTATTTTGACAACCGGATAACCTTAAATGAAAAACCATATTTCACGAAAATGCAAATTCGATATTGTTGTGATCATAACTGTCCACTGTTCTTTGGAGACGCGCCAAATGATTTTGCACCTTTTATACGGAACTTCCTTTCTTTCCGTTAAAACGGTTAACGAGCGGAAGAGAGATACTATTTATTGTATCCTTCCCTTTACTTTAAATCGTGCGCATGACGGCTCCTGATTTCTCTGAAGAAAGAAGGGTACTTTCATTTACCTAAAATTTAATCATGCAAAGTTAATGCAAATCCCTTTAAAATTGCATCAAATTCATGAAAGAGCACCCTGAACAAAATGGCCACAGGAAATAGGGGAAATCAAAGGGATCACAACTTGCAATTCAATCTCGTAAGATGCCCCGAAAAGCAGAACAAAAAGACAAGAATACAAATCACAACCATCACGATCGCATAAAAATCTAATGAAAGTTTGTAGCCAGCGAAAGGGGAAACTGAGGTCGGGGCGTTGACACAGGCAAAGAATACGGACTTGTCCACAGAATCTAATGTTTCCCTACCAGGTGAGCGGGAACGGGTGGCCTTTCAGGGGGGCTGGCATGGTAATTCAAGATCCTCCTGTTGAGTGTCCGCTTGTGATTGGCTAATGGCATGTAGTAGGAAAAGTTATTAGGCTTAAGGGAGGGATATAAGCCCTTTTGATTCATCACAATGCGTCCCGGTTGAAGGTGAGATCTGGCAGGTTGGGTCGACTTGGCGGTCACTGCCGCAGTTGTTTCCTCAGTTGCTACTGCTGTATACCTGGATGGTGGGTTTCGATTACCACGGCTAGCCTGTTGTCTATCGCCCCTAATTGAAGCGATATCAGTTGATGATTGGGGCACTCTCAGCGGTGTGTGCTGGCTCACCAATTGTGCCTGGTTTAAGGAGTTATGGAAGATGCCATCACAGGTCTGAAGATTGTGCATAGAATTGTCATGCCTTTTCGGATCTGTGGTCATATTCAATGGTTTCTGGTCGAACTGTGAAAGAGAGCAGGGATAAAAAAAGTTTGATCGGCCTAACTATTGTGCCTATGCATATCAAAGACGAAATACTTTTAGAGTAAGAACTTGATGATGAAGATTAATTAAATGCAGCAAACGATCAAATATACACGTCAGCCTGCTTGCTTTCTAGTAGAAAACCGAGTGCATGACAGCACACGCTCTAATTAGTGTGCAGGGTTTTTTCTTGCGGAGAGCACAAGCAATCAACTACCCCATCGCCTAGAAGAGACAAAATCTGCGGCAGAAAACGCTACCATTCAGATCCAATGATGTCAACTTCAGGTGCAATCCAGTCCACCACGATGTCAGTTGGTCAAATACGCTTCGAGAAAAACGAAGCAGAAATAGGCAATTCATCTCACCACAGAATAGAATACACAACATGTAAATCAAACGCGGAACAAACGCAAACCAATCTGGTTTCTTCCGCCGTCAAAAGTAGGCACAATAGTAAGTGCAGCAGATTCAAAAGGCCTGGACGGATCAAGAGGCTGAATAAATGCAAAGTGATGTTAACCACAAAGATACGAACAGTTTCTTTGCTTCTAGGAAGGCGTTCTACGGCCTCCGAACTACAGACACTGTACCGCGGCTCAGCTCCACAACAGAAGCGCAGATTTTGAAGTGCTTGGCTGAGCACTCCAGAGACGTCCGTGTATTATATTCACTGATACCAGTAGCAGTTTCTTCCAGGTGAAAACGAACACCTGGACGTTCCACCGCCATTTCAAAAAAAAAAACTAGTCGTGCAAAAATGATCCAACGGAAAGGTCCCGAAAGCAGATGTGATTCCGGAAAAGGTCAAAACCGTGGCGTCTTTGTGTTGATAAACAACCTCAAGGCGCCTTTCTAGGAAATATTGCGGCAAGGCCAACTACCTTCAAAGTTCAAGGTGGTCAACGTAGCAAACATGTCTAAACATAAAAGCAATCACTTATTCTATGATAATCTGTGAAATCTTGATGCTTAACATCAATGGGAAGACCTCCATCCGTGCCCCACTCAGTCATCTCAATCGCCATCCGGAACAGGGACTCCTCCCGGAAAATCAATGCGGATTCCCATGGCAACGGAGAACCGTCGACATACTATTTGCGGTCTGACAACTGCAGACGGAAGGCGGAAAATGCATACCAATTTCTACCTCATATTTGTGGATGTAAAGAAGACCTTCTTCACCCTGGAATGCGACAAATCGTGCTAAAATTCAGGAATCCAGAGCGTCGCACTCACATGGGCCAACAGCTGTGCCCTGTGTTGTTGCGCACGTCACAGACAATGGGATGAAGCAGGAGTGTGTACTCCCGCCTACCTCCTTTAGCTTCTTTTTCACCGTCGGGTTGATGGATATCTACGGTGAAGAGCGCACAGATATCAGCACAGATATAGAGATTTGGCAGCCAGCTTCTCTCACGACCGTGGGCACACGCGTGCAAACCCACAATGACTATCCACGATCCACTTTTCGTGGACGATTGTTAACTTCACACCATGGGAGAAACAACTATGCCAAACAGCATGGACGTTTTTGCGTACGATTGCGCCAACTTCGGATTACGCATCAACACGGATATGTTAGCTATGCACCCGCTTGCAAAAAACGGGGGGATATCCTATGCCCACGATCAGCATGTATGGAACACGACTCACACCGGCGGATGAATTGGCCTTGCTATGCAGTAGGAATTGGGGACAAATATTTCTTCACCAATTCATGCTATATACTCGCTATCCGTCGAGTGACAGCTTTACTAAGTTCTTGTGTGATCAGAATTGCATGGCTAAACTTTGTGAAGACCAATGGCACAGACGGGAACAGCCTCTTGTCCATCAAGAACGTCAGCAGCCAGAAAAAAGCGTTAGTATGGCATCGGACTTAGAAGATTTGAATTAATGAGATTTTAGCCCTACTAGGAGGGGTATGACAGATTAGAATAATTCAGCTGTGCAAAAGTTGCTTATGTAGGCCCACTCATATACCCCAAGACCCAGTATTTCGTCCTGCAAAAACGGTGGTTATAGGGCTTTGTTGGG